CACCGCCCCATTAAATCGCGGGTCACGGATAACTCACCGTTCCATTATATCGCGGACACGGCTACCACCTCAACGTTCCATTATATCGCGGACACGTATATTGGCCACCATGTTAATTCCACACAATGGGAATTAACAAATGCAACATGATATGTAAGTATGTAACACTCAGCATACTATGAACATCAATCAACATATCATGCACATCAACAATATCAAACATAACATGATATGAATAGCATGTAACCACTCAGCATACTATTAAACATCAATCATATCAAGTTATATTATAATTCATGCTTGATAACATCATCTAAAAGCATGACAATAAGATCCACATAGTGTTGGTATCATAACATACAATCGTTATTCGATACACACATCAATCAACACTAGGAATTCAATAAACACATATTCAAAACATGTCAAACACTGCACATCAAAACCGGATCAATCCGTACTTAACAACATGCACAGAAAACATAGTTTAAAAAACCAACACAGGAGGTTTAACACGGGTGCCCGTGTAAAACAACACTGCCCGTGTGGAAATGTGTCCAGAAAACACGTTTTTTTGACAAAACAGGGGATCAACACGGGCGCCCGTGTAAATCAACACGGCCCGTGTTGAATTGTGCCCAGAAAACCCATTTTTATGCCAACACAGTGAATCAACACGGCCGCCCGTGTTAATCAACACGCCCGTGTTGAATTATGGCCAGAAAACACTTTTTCATCAGCATTACAGTGAATCAACACGGGTGCCCGCGTAAATCAACGCGCCCGTGTTGATGAGTGCGAACCCAATTTTTCTGTTTTTGCAGCAGCTCATATACCCATTTTTTTGCACGAAAATACCTCTCTACGGCGGTGCAACATAGTACAAAGACATCCAATCCATCATAGGAATCTAAAGTCTCTAATTGATTCATAAAATCGGGAATTTAAACCTTTTCTAACAAAGTTCAATCCTAAGGTTATCGATCCCTAGAAACATCTAACAATTGGGATTTCCTACGATTACCCGAATCAACCGTACATAAACCCATAAACAAATATAAATCGAGTATAAACCCCCCTTACCTTATCAATTAGCAGCTTTGAGTTCTTGAGCGATGTTCTTCGTTCTCCGTTCTTCAGAGCTCTATTTTCCCAAATTCCAACTTCTGTTCTTACGTGAAAACCAAAAATGAGAAAATGGCCTAAGTCCCAAACATAACTTTATTTCTCTGCACCCCCACTCTTTACTAGCAACATCTAAGCCCAATAACATAAAAATCCCAATATTCCTTATTTCTTTTATTTTCCTCAAATACTCCAAAATAAATAATTCTTTTTATTTTATTAATTCTAATAAAATAAATTCCCAAATTTAAATAAATCAATTAATTGAAAACGGGGTGTTACAGCCACTGTCATTGATTTTACCCATTGTCTTTACCTTTCTCTTGGGTCATAGATCATACGCCAATCTTTACTCTTTGTCTTTACCTTTCTTTTTGGGTAGCGAATCCTACACGATAGATTCTCTGTTGTCGTCAATTCTACCCTTTGTCTTTAAGTTATCATGTTTTCAGTCACCACGACATCATCAACCATATCTTTTCAATCACTATCACACCCACTTCCCCGAGAACCTTGTATTGGCACTGTTACCCCGTTACAAGCTATCACCACTCAACCATATTTATCCAAAATGACCAGTTCACTAGAAAATGAATTTTCTATCCCCAACAGACATCACAAATAAATAACGCTTACACTATCTCTCCAGGATAAATTTCAGATCTTGGTATTTAATCTTCTTCTACCTTAAATGATCGAAAGACTGACGCCAATCTCACTTTCAGGTTTAAGACGATTAAATATGGGAAGCTGTCATAGCCCAAATTTGTCCTACCTTTTCACTTTTATATTACTTATGCTTTGCATTTCATTTGCATTATTTTCATCAGGACATTCACACATATAAGGCAGTGGTTCTAAGCATCAGTAGTTGTGCTAATTAGGACTTCACTTTGGTTTGAGTTTTCTTCATCAGATAAAGGCAGATTCATCTTGTTTTTGGATAGTGGAATCAGGTTTTGAAGTATGGTTATCATGAGTTTCTTATTCAACCATGTACAAGGTCGTTTCTCATTCAAATTCATCAATATCTTGGATTAGGGTTTATTTCCCTATGTGTGATTAAAATCAGGGTTTGCTCCTCAGTTACCATCCCTTAAGTTGTTTAGTCAGAAATTATGGTTTCCATTGGTTTTAGATTCCTTCAGTTAAAATAAAGGTAGACTCATCTAGTTTTTCCCTTGAGCAGTGGACTTGTGAATTAGGGTTTTGATACTGTGACTATCTTAAGCATCATTTCCTCGATATCTAAGGTTCTATCCCTCCATCATCACAAGCGTTCTCTTTACTGAGGGTCATCAAACCTTTCTTCATTCCAATGGGTAGCTCAGATGGATTAGGGTTTTGCGTCCTTCATGGATGGGTTGGTTGAAGTCCACCAATACAAATTTTAGGTTTGTCACTTTCATGTTCTCAAGGGGTCCTCAATGGTTTCAGTCAAGACCCTGATTTAGGGTTTATTTCCCTACTGTTAATTGTGAGATTAGGGTTTCGTTTCAAAGAGCATTATCCTTATATGCTTCAAGCCTCATTTATCTTTTCACAAGGATATCCTTTTAAGGTTTTGATTTAGGGACTTCATTAAATTAAAGGCTTGTGGTTTGATTTACAAAGTTTGAGTCGTGATACATGTGATGACAATTGTAGATTCACGTTATGATCAAGACAATTTTTTGTTTATAATGCAAGTATTTGGTTACTTGAGATTTGACGATAGGGTTTTATTCGAGTGATGAAGAGATTTGGATACATTGTTTGGATAGTATTCAATTAAGTTGTCTACAACGTTCAAATGAGTCAAAATTGTTTAATGCTTGCAAGCTTGGAAAGGAAATATATTGCTTGGAAGTGAATTTACAAGTTACAATTTTCAAGTTGTGATATGGTGGCAGAACCGACTGTTTAATACTGGTTTTCGTTTTATGTTTTTCGTTCGCAAAATGTCATGGTAAGCAAGAGTCGCCATCGACTTTTATTTTATCCAATCATGGAAAAGGAAAAAGAACAGAGAAAACCTTTTTTCGAGATTTCTGAGTACGAGGGGTAGATTATAGAAAGGGAAGGTGTTAGCACCCTTTCTATCCATGGTTTTCCATGGGCTCTTAGGTACTTGCTCATCTTTCAAATTGCTTGTGTGCTTGTTTTGAAAATGTTTTACTTCGTGATAACCCTTGTATCAGTCCTCAAGGGTGTGACGAAGTTTGTTTTGAAAATTTGTTTTGAAAGGTGTTTGTGTGAAAAGTTTTATTGAGCAAGTACTTAAGATTCTACCTACTCGAAAAAAGATTGTTTGTTCTCGTTTCCTTTAGACAACGCTATCCTAGTATTACGGAGTAGGTAGCCCCACCGATGGAGTTTGTAAGGGACATTCGAAAGGGACAAGTATAGTCACTAAAGCAACAGTTAGAAAACTTTAGTAGTAACCCTAGAGTCTTAAGATCTTTCTGAGGCAACATTTCTGAAGCAACATTTCCGAGGCGACATTCAAATGGGACATTTTGATCTTTTAGACTGGAGGGAAACCACTAAAATCTCCTATGCTTAAGGACTGTTTACCGAAGGCAACCGAAGTGATGTAAACCCTAAGGGTGAATATGTGCATGTGAATTGTTTCAGTTAATTTAGTCTTTTCACATTAGGTGATCTACCATTTTAATTTCAAGATATTCTTGCCATACAATCCTATTAGCATGCATCTAACAGTTAAATATTTGCAGGAATTTAAAGTGCGAAAAATAAACCTAGCTATTACAAGGCTTTGACAGTTACATAATGTAGCGGTGAAAATCGGAGATCAAGCTATTAATTAACTTGACTCACAAAAGCAAGAGTCGCCACCGCGCTTTATTATTTCCAAGGGAAAAGGGAAAAGAGCGATATAAAACCCTAAAATATGCAATGTAAAATAATACTTAAAAGTAATGAAAATACGATGCATTTTTGAAAGAGATCAAGAGTTCGGGGGTTGGTTATACAATGGGAAGGTGTTAGCACCCAATGCATCTGCGGTACTCCGCATGAACCTTTTGAAATATCTGTTTTTTGGTTAAAATTGTTTGTTTGGTTAAAATGGTTTGTTTGGTTAAAGATGGGTATGGACGAGATTTTTGAAAATCCGACGAGCTAATGTCGAAGTTTTTAACTTAAAAGGTGTGAGTTTTAAAATTGGGTCTTTTGGAAAATTATCTTAGGTTTAACAAAATAGTAAACAAACAAAAGATGAATGAGGGTATTCGCACGATTGGATGAGATGTGTTTGATGACGTGAAGTCAATAAATTTAATTATTTCCCTTGGAGTTTAGACGGACGAACAAAATAAAATGGATGTCAAAATATGAACATTCGAAAATTCACAAGGAAATAAATCGAAAGACCCCAAAAAATTAAAATGACAAAGATATTTAAAAAAGAATGGAACCAATTATCTAAATTAAAATTCTAAGATTACTTACTAAAATAATTCTGAACTAATTACGAATTATAAGGTTATAAAGAATAATTCTAAAATTACTAAATTATATATGAACTAAATTAAAATTCTAAAGTTATTAAGTTAAATCTAAAATAACTAAAAATAATTCTAAAGTTACTAAAATAATCCTAAATGAACTTAAAATTACTAAAATAATTCTAAACTAAAATTATTAAAATTTGTCTAATTGAAACTACATGTTTCTTTCTAAGAAACTAACTAACCTAATTTAAATAAATTTAACTAAGGAAATAAAACTAAAATAAATAGCATGGGGGTATCAAACCTAAAAAAGGGGTGTAATGATAGGAATTAGGAATGACTAGAATAAGGGAAAGGCCCATATGAAGGAGGAGGTTGAATAATATTTGGATTTTTGATATAGAATTACTTTTGAGAGAGCTAAGTATTGACCTGAATTGTGAGATGAGGTATACGGAGAAGGCGCAGCATAATCAGATCTGGATCCTTTTCCCTTTTTCTGTACAAAGCACACAGCGATACCAAGAAGTTGATGGCAATGTGGGTGGAGGTGTTTGCATCGGTGACCGGAAATGGTGGTGTTGAGTTGTTGTCAATGTTGTTAACTGCTTTTGATGATGAAGAGGCATAAGGTGCTTTGCCACGTACCCTGATCCTTCTCTTCTTAAGAAAACTTTGAAGTGATTGTCTGCGTGCTAATGGAAATTCTTGCATCCGGCAAATGGAACTCTTGTCAGCAGCAGGAAAACAGACTGATGGAGGAGAAGGCACATTGTTAGAAGTTCCTTGTGGAGAAGAAGGAGCGGCACTGGAAAAGAGTGAAGTGAATGGAATTCCAATTTTCATTTCAGAAGACTTAGTAGTGGCAGCAGCCATCAACATTATTTCTTGCACCTTTTCTGTAGGAATTCCATCATATACACACATACTTCCATTATAGACAATGGCAAATTGACCTTTTGCATTCAGTCCACATGTTGACATTGGCCAGTTAGCAAAAAAACTCTTGACATAACCATCATCACTGGCACTGTTATTGCAACTCATTGAAGAGTAAGAGGCTTTAATTGGTTGTGGTGGACACGGTGGAGAAAAGCTGTTTGTGACGGTTGATGTTGAAGGTTGTTGTTAAGGATGGCGGTTTGCTACAGAAGGGAGTGTGGATCATGAAGAAGCCGGTGGAAATTTACGGCGGAGGGTGATGATCGAGGGTATTACAATCCAAGAGAAATTTGCTCCAATGTAGTATGCGTAGTAGTAAAATGAATTTGTAGAAAATTTATCGCCTTCCAAAATCGCTGTTATGTAATATACAGCAGTTCCATATAGCTGACCCAAAGAAATGGCAAATTGAAGTATGTAGCTGTATGATTTGCCGGTCGTTATCGCATATACGGCCAGTAGACTGGCTGGACCCTCCAAAACTACTGTTAGTCCTTCAACAGTTACTACTGCTGCATCCCTTCCTGCATACCTTGAATCTCCTTTGCTATATTCCTTCCAAACTTCAGCAAGGTAGAAACCAGTGTTATCCTTGAAACACTCTGGTGCGAAGACAAAATAACCCTCAAGAACCAAGTGTGTGAGGCCGGTGAATGCCCACCAGAAAATTAGCAGCTTGTCGAATTTCGTTTTCTTGAGCCGTCCTGAGAAGATCCATGTGAGGGAAAAGAGGATGAGAGTGAAGGAGGCAAAGACGGTGAGAATGTTGGATTGAGAAAGGAAGCAAGGAACGTGGCCAGGAAGATGCAAGTCTCTCGGAACGTAGGGATGAGGATGTGACGCTTGAGATCCCGCCATGTTGTTGTTTGATCTGAATGAATTGGTGTTTTGACTTTTTTGAGTTCGATGTTTGAGTGTGTTTTTTTTTAACAGAGGAAAATGGGACGAGCCTTATTGACAAATGTACGAGCCCCTATGAAATCTTTGCTTTCCATTTTCTTTTCAGCAATATCCTTGGCCCTTAAGGCCTCTTCTTTATTGCAGTCCATCAAAAGTCCAAATTTCAAAGCCTAACGAGTGATGACAGCAAGCTCTATAGCCAACAAAGCATAAATCCCCTCCAATAACTACAGCCCTCGCATTCAGATTGACCTATATGCCAATGACACCATTTTTCATACAATTCCAGCACAAGACCGAAGAAGCAATGTTCAAGTTCCAAGACCTGCGAGTGTGTTGTGAGAGTTGAAAAAAACACCTTCTTCTCAATAGTACTAGTACCATTTTGTTGTTACTATATTGCCATTCTGATTCTTCATTTTTATGTTGTTTTCGTTGAAGAGAGTGACAGTAAGGATTGGTATGGTATTAACAGAGGGAGTATATGATTTTGAAAGAGGAAATAGCAGGGTGATGGAAATTGGTGGTTTGTGGTGAGGGAGAGTGTATGAAGAAGTGTTAGAGAGTTGAAGAGGAGATGGTATGGGTTTGGGAAGTAAATGAAAAAGGTTGACAGTGGAGAAGGGAATTGATAGATTAAAGGTGGGTAGCAGATGGCCATCGTGTGAGGGAGTTTGAAGGGGGATTTGAAGTGTGTACGAAAAAGAGAGGAGGGATTATTTACTGTTAGTTTTTTTGTTTTTTTTTTTTGTATCAATCCACCACTTTTGCCAACAGCCAATGAGAGCATAGTATAGTGTAATCAATATATTTTTGTGACAAAAACGCCCCTGAATGACAAAAATAAAATAAAACCTGAAAGTATAAAAAAATAACTCAATTTAAAATAGTTTTTTTGAATTTTTTCTGAATTAAAAATAAAGACACAAAATGACCGAAAACGATAAAAAACGGACGAAAATTTATCCAATAAAATAAAATGAACACATTAAAATAAACTACATGTCACGAAGATTAAAGAAAAACAATATTCAAGAAGTCAAAAAAATCAAAAATAAAATAATAATAAAATATCAGACTAAACAGACGTTTAAGGTTAAAAACGAGACTTCGAACTGTACCGAAAAATAAAGCGAGCATACCATCATAATCTACGCGAAGCGCAGATTCATAAAATAATCGGTAAAAGGTGAAAACTTGAAATATTTTCTCGCTACTTTCCCGCATAGTGTCGAATCGCTTTTAACAGTCTGTCTATAAAACCAAAATATTTTTATTATTGACATGTAAACAACTTGGAGCAATGCAACAAATGAGTAAATGGATAAAAATGCATGAAGCAAAATGTCGGGTATTTTACAACTGAAAGACGATGCAAACTTTGATTTAAACTGACTTTTTCTGATCAACTTAAATACGACTAATGATGCAAAAATATGATGAATGAAGATATTTACCAATGATCGTGACCAAATAACAAAATATGATATGAAAGTGCGACTAAAACATATTAGGGGCGAAATTAAGGGTGCAACGGTGTGCCTTGATGAATCAGTCTTCGAGAATCCATAATCAACCGTACTTTTGGCTTGGGAGACTCAAAACCTTAATTGAGGCGCGACACCTGATGCTCTTAATTCAGACCTGTCTCTGCACATGACACAAAAGAAAACATGAACATACACATTTGTATGCGATTAGAAATTAGTGATACATATGCTAAAAATGTTCAAAACACTTAACAATCTTCGCATAGTCAAAGCTCGAAGGTGAGACGTTAAAACCGACCGTATTTCGTGACCTTGACTTATCTTAAAAATGAAAAAATAAAAATGGGATCTTAGGTCAAAAATTGGGGTACAACAGCTGCCCCTATTTAAGTTTCTTCTATCTGGAGATATGAAGATTGGGATCTTCATTTCGACGAGATTGAAGGGACTTAAATATAGAATACACAATTTTTGGCCTTAAGATACCGCGATTATGTTCATGATATGATATGAATGTAATGCTCTGAATTTTATAGGGAATGACGCCATATGAGACAGACTATGCTGGAGAAACCAAGCACATTATACAATAATCCCACAGAGGAAGAGGTTGTAACTCCACTGGGGAAACAAAGTCATAGACTTCAAATGAGAGACTCTTGAATGATTTACATCAGTATTGGGACTAGAAAAGGTAATGATTTACAACAGTATTGTGACTGGAAAAGCATATGATTGACATCAGTACTGTGACTGGAAAAGGAAATGATGGACATCAGTACTGAGACTGGAAAATGATTGACATCAGCACTGTGGCTGGAAAATAAGATGATTGACATCAGCACTGTGACTGGAAAACAAAATGATTGACATCATCACTGTGGCTTGAAAACAAAATGATTGACATCAGCACTGTGGCTGGAAAACAAAATGATTGACATCAGCACTGTGGCGGGAGATAAACATCTCTGATTTCTGAATTTTACCAAGAACGGTAACACATTTCTTCTTTAACCAAGATATCGCTTGAAAAGGATAAAATAACAAACTTCCCCATGGGACTTTTCCGAAAAGGATGCCATTTGCCGAGTAGACACTATTGTTGGGGATACACAAGCTGCTCAAATAAAGAGGCCGCCATTTGCTTCCTTTCAAAGGTGTCAATAACATACAAGCTGCTCATGAAGAGACCGCCACTTGCTGTCTTCAAAGAATATTAAAGCACACAAGCTGCTCATGAAGAGTCCGCCACTTGTTGCCAAAAACCCACAAGCTGCTCATAAAGCTGCCACTTGCTGTCTTCAAAGAATATCAAAGCACACAAGCTGCTCATGAAGAGTCTGCCACTTGTTGCTAATAACCCACAAGCTGCTCATGAAGAAGCTGCCACTTGTTGTCTTCAAGGGAACAATAACACACAAGTTGCTCAAATAGATAAGCTGCCACTTGCTATCTTCCAAAAATACTAACGTACAAGCTGCTCATGAAGAAGTTGCCACTTGCCGTTTTCAAAAAGTGTTGATAACATACAAGTTGCCCATGAAGAGACTGCCGCTTGCTGTTTTTAAAAGTGTTGATAACATACAAGTTGTCCATGAAGAGACTACCGCTTGCTGTTTTTAAAAGTGTTGATAACATACAAGTTGTCCATGAAGAGACTGTCGCTTGCTGTTTTTAAAAGTGTTGATAACATACAAGTTGTCCATGAGGAGACTACCGCTTGCTGTTTTTAAAAGTGTTGATAACATACAAGTTGTCCATGAGGAGACTGCTGCTTGCTGTTTTTAAAAGTGTTGATAACATACAAGTTGTCCATGAAGAGACTGCCGCTTGATTTTTTTCAAGAGAAAAATAACACACAAGTTGCTCATGAAGAGACCGCCGCTTGCTGTTTGTCAAGAGTATCCATAAAACACAAGTTGCTCATGAAGAGACCGGCGCTTGCTGTTTCCCAAAAAGAAACCCATAAAATATCGTGAAGATATTGCTGGAGGTGAGAACCAATAATTTCATCAGGGATGGACAAACTGCTCATGAAGAGACCGCCATTTGTCATAGAGAAATCAGAAATAATCAAACTGCTCAAATAAAGAGTCAGTTGCTTGTTGTCACGTCGATATTCCAGAAGAAGGTTGTGATAACACTACTGGGGAATAAAGTTCATCTTCAATGGGGAACCATGAGTAAATCCTTCTTGAGGAGACCAAGTATTTACATTGCAAAATAAATGCACTCTCCATCTAGGTTTCACAGCCTAGAGATATTCACAGGGTATCATTCACAAGAGACACAGCTCAATTCAGGAATAAACTGGAGAGAAAACAGTCAAACAAGACTCCACCCAATGAGGAAATAACTCAAATGGGGGTTTATCCTATCCAGAGATGGAAAAGGAAAGCTAAAGCAAGATTCTTCCACGAGAGTTAACTCAGTGGGGAATTAGAAAGAAGGCACACTTTATGCTTAAGTCGACACTCTATTTGGAAAGATCAAATATGTTATTTGAATAGACATAACCAAGGTATACGAACTCAATGACATCAACAAATACAACTGTGCGTGCATGATGCAAGTGTGAATGAATAAATGAATGTCATGTACATGCTGACAAAACAGACAGGGGAGATGGACAGAAAATGATAAGACATCACA